CTTGTTTACAAACATAAACTAACACTTTGTACGCCGATCCCAATAGATCATAGGACCGATGTTTATTTCACGGAACACACAAAACCTTTGGACCAAATCCGAGCTCAGCCCTCCGCAAAATCCGCGACGATTTCAAGTCAACATGGAGGGATATCAATCATGTTTGTGGTTCTCCTCAAATGTGTCAAATAATTGCCGCATGCGTGGGTTAAAGCACCCCCCCCCCCCACCCCACACACTCCATTCATCTTGGAGCCTGGGGTAGAACAACGAGGAAAAGAAAAGGGTTGTGAATGGGCGAGCAACCCGAGTCTCCAATATTGATGTTTCGCGACAAGAGATCACGCGAATCAGGGCTGCGGTAATCGCCCATCATGGAAGCTTTCACAGTCACGGGGGGTAACTCTAATGAAGATGTTTAAAAGGAAACCAGAGTCGCGTCCCCTGACAACTTGCTTTCAACTTTTCACCAACAAAGACGTCTTGAAATAAAGGCAAAGAAAATAAAAAAAGACACAGGGAGTTTGAAAAATATGTCTGAAGGTTTAAAGATCAAGTTACTAATATTTTTTTTTTTTGGATTCATGACAACACAATACGTGACCGACAAAGCTGACACGGTTTTTGAATGACCCACAGGTCAATGTCTTCGTCATCAGAACGTGGCAGATCTGACCGGTAAGTTTTACTCCAATCAATCAGGTGACCCACAGGTCAACGTTCTGTGTTGACGTCATCATGACGTAGCAGACCTAACAGTTCAGACCGCAACTGCGCGCATATTTGTAAACGTGAATTGTTTTTCAATAAATAAAAAACTCGTTTCAACCTACAAAAACGTTTTCAAATCATACGTTACAATGTTTAATATAATAACATATTCCCCTATGTGCCAGAGGAAGAGGTCTACGCCACTGTACCCACATTTAGAGCCGCCCCTGCACGCCTCTCGCTACTGGAGTGTATCTCCAACACTTCCAACACCCCAAATAATGACACAGGCGTGAGTCAAATACAATTTTGTTGTAAAACTGACTAAATGTGACTAACTGTGACTAAATGGCTTTGATCTAGTTGCAGCAAACACGATCCCTAGCTGGGAAGTTTAGACATTATTGTTGTCTACCTGCCCCACTTAATTAAGTAGACGTCAACTAATTAGGCCGCGTGCAATCGCCGGATCATTGAGCGCGAGCCTGTAATCAAGCGATTTGTCAAGAGCCCCGTACACCCACAGTAGGTCACGTGGCAGCCATTGTTGGTGAGCGCTTAATGAACTCGATAGCTTGTTGAGACCCACGGTCCGTGGTGCCGCCCCAGCCTGCACGTGCCGCCACGCCCCACCGCCCCGGCGCCCGGCATACGTCATCACAGGAAGAACCGGAAGTAATAAACTTCCTTATGAAACACACTCAACTGTGTCTTAAGCTCCACCCGTCTTTTATATTGTTCTAGAAATTAATCTCTAAACAATCGACTTATTATGGTCCTTGTATTTTGAGTACAGTATAATAACGCGGGGTGGGGTGGTTTAAAGGGAAAGAAGCAAGACGAGACTGAGCCAAGTTTTGGTTGCGTCCCCTGTGGTGTACATACGTCTAGCTGCACGCAACTCTAGTGCTGGTATTTGCATGCAGATGGGCCCGGGCTCGCTATGGGGAGGTCCCAGAAGTGGACAGTTACGCCTTTACATAATGAACGTATTAACTTCTGCGGGCCGCACGCTCTTTCTCTAATCCGCTAGAGATGGTCTCGGTCTCGTCAGGATGGGGATGAGGTGCCAGACTTTGCGTGAGGGAGGGGAGGATCGCTGCTTGTTGGCACCGTCGGTTGGCCCGGGGGTCCTCTGGGGTCTGTCACGTGATCGACCCCCTTCGTTTTGTCGGTCAGGTTCCGGCTAACCCGCGAAATTAGCATTGATTAATTCGGAAATTGCTTTGTTGACAAGCGAGTGGTTGGTGTGGGGGCTGGTGGGTGGATGGTGTGGTAGATGGTGTGTGTTGGGTATCTTTTACAGAACAAACAGCCAATCGAAAAGCGTATGTTTCGGTGCCCCAATTTACCGTCCGCCATATTGAACTTTGCGTTGAAAATGGGAAGCAACTCTTAAGCAGTTAAAAAGTAAATTTGAAAACGTTGAACAGTAAAACAAAAATATTCCAAGTTTAGTTTACAGACGGGTGATCCTGTTTCCTGTTTAAATATTAAGATGTCTAAAATGTGTCAAACTACAATACCTGCCTCTGAAAAAAAAAAAGGGGGGGGGGAAGGTACGGGGGGGGGGGGGGCGTGTGTGTTTTTTGTCTGATTTTATTGTTTGGTTAAAAAATACTAGCTAATCATTTAAACCTTATTTACTCATCCAGAATTACATCTGCTCCTACGGTTTAATATTTTCTACGTTAGTAATTAATTAGTTTCCATATTCAGGTGTGTTCACACTTGCTGCCAGCCATAATATGGATGCTGGCGAGTTCAGCCTCCGCTGTTTGTATTCAAATATCCGTCAACCTGAACACACCTACAACACCTGGCAAACTGAACACACCTACAACACCTGGCAAACTGAACACACCTACAACACCTGGCAAACTGAACACACCTACAACACCTGGCAAACTGAACACACCTACAACACCTGGCAAACTGAACACACCTACAACACCTGGCAAACTAAACACACATACAACACCTGGCAAACTAAACACACATACAACACCTGGCAAACTGAACACACCTACAACACCTGGTACACTAAACACACATACAACACCTGGCAAACTAAACACACATACAACACCTGGCAAACTGAACACACCTACAACACCTGGTACACTAAACACACCTACAAGAACCTGAACACATTTTGGGGTCGAACACACTATGATGAGTGTGTGTGTGTGTGACGTTTTGTGATTTTATGTGATAAGGCAAGGTTAGAAAATATGTGTGGCAATGTTATGTAAGCGACCATCTTGATTCTAATCTACCTAAACCAGGGGTCGGCAACCTTTTGAGACGAAAGAGCCAAAAGTTACAATTTACAACATTATCCGGTTTTTAAAGAGCCACTAACATTTTTATGTCAATAGTATCTGTGTTTAGAGTATATATATATATATATATATATATATATATATATATATATATATATATATATATATATATATATATATATATATATATATATATATATATATATATATATATATATATATATATATATATATATCAGGGGCGTAGCGAGGGGGGGGGGGGGCGGGGGGTGCGGACCGCACCGGGTGACACCATTTAGGGGGGGGGGGTGACACCAAGGCAAAAAATAGCAAAATATATAGAGAAAAACTTGAGGGGGGGTGCAAATCGAAAGTTTGAGGGGGGGGGGGGTGCAAATCGAAAACTTGACGGGGGGGGGGGGTGCAAATCGAAAGTTTGAGGGGGGGGGGGGGTGCAAATCGAAAACTTGAAAGTTTGTCCCCGGGAAGGGTCGCAACGCCTCTGGGGGGGGGGGGTGACACCATTAAGTGCCGCACCGGGTGACACCCACCTCGCTACGCCACTGTATATATAATCCTAAACAAATATCATACTATATATATATAATTTAAAATAAATAGCTTTGAATATATGAGATAATCTCATTTGAATTTGTGTTGAGAGGATCTACTTTGTAAGTCAGAGTACTTGCATTTGTTTTGAATAGCTCAAATTTCTCAGTGAAAACACCCTTCATTTTGTTTATAATAATACTGAAGTGCTTGTATAGTAGCATTGGTTTCCTAACTATATTTTTTTTCGGATTTTTCGTAATTAAGTTATTTACCGCTCACCATGTATTCAACAAAAAAAAAAGTATTTTTTTTTCCGAAACAAACCACTTCTTCAAGCAAGACATAGGCTAGATTTTCCTTTCAGTTTTTATACTTAGTTGGTTTAGTTTCTTTTTGGTATCCACTATGACGTTGAATGTTTCAATTCGGAATGGACAATGTAATAGGAAGTAAACTGAGATAAGGAGTAACTAAATATTCTAATAGAATAGTGAATGTTTTTGTTTATAAATATTGTTATATCGTTTATTACCGAGTGTCGCAGACTAATATTTGTATGAGTTTTGGAAATAAAATAAAATACTATTAATATTTTTGCATGGAGATGAAGAGCCGCAACTGGACACCAAAAGAGCCGCATGCGGCTCGCGAGCCGCAGGTTGCCGACCCCTGACCTAAACCCGTCAGTTGAATGGCTGGATGAGTGCGTCGACTGAACTGGTTGTTTCATGTTCCATCTCTATATAGTTACTATATAGGTGACCAACAGGTTTTAACTAATTATGTGTTTATGTGTTTATGTGTGTTTGGGGGGGGGGGGGGGGTTGGTCTAAAATAGTAAAAATATGATATGTGTTTGTAATATAATATTGGTGATCCGCTAAAATGGGATTTTTAAATCTAAGTTCAGCGGGACAGCGATATCACGGCAGTTGTGATGATCTAATGGGTACATTGAGTATGGGGGGTGGGGGGGGGGGGGTGGGGTGGGGTGTTGGGGTGGGTGTTGGGTGTGAGTGTGTGCGCTAACCTGAGGAGTGGTTTATCTCACGTTTACACAAGTTTTGAGAAAACTATAAGTTTAATACTCCCGTGTTGTTGGGTGTAGGTTGAGGTTGGGCTTGCCGGAACATTTCAATATGTGATAGAAAAAAAAATCCAGCTCTCACTCAATGTGTACACACATCGTGCTACACACATACTGCTACACAGATAATGATACACACAGAGCGTTACACGCATAGCGCTAAACATAGACTGGTTACACGTAGGCGGGCCACAGGTATGCGGGCCACAGGTATGCGGGCCACAAGCAGGCGGGCCACATTTAAGAGGGCCACGCGTATGTGTGCTGCACATAGGCAGGCTTCACGAGGCGTGTGACATTACATACACACACATTACATAGCTACACACGAGCTACACACGAGCTACACACGAGCTACAGACCTGAACTCGCGACTCCGTCAGACCAATGCGCAGGGCCAGCTCCTCCCTCATGAAGATGTCCGGGTAGTGCGTCTTGGTGAAGCTCCGCTCTAGCTCGTTCAGCTGCCCGGGGGTGAAGCGGGTCCGGTGCCGCTTCTGTTTGATCAGTTTGTCCGAGTCGCCGGAAGTCACAGGACTCTGTGACGTCAAACTTCCGGGCAGGAGACTGCTGAGGTCTTCCGCTTTCTTCAATCCTGAAATCAATGCAAAAAAAAAAAAAAATCAGCTATAAAAGAGAAGATGATGACCAACTTACGAACCCTATTACTTAACATACGCAAAGACAGATAATGCACACTTTCGCGTGGATTATGGGGTAAAATATTCGGTAAAACCTTAATTTAGCGTCGGAAATTATCGGGTAATGTTTGTTGAGTTTCGGTAACTAGAGTTACGGTAAACCATGGTTTATTTGACCAGAAATAAAAATAAATTGAAAGTCGATTGTAGTAAATTAATGTTTTAATTTTTTTAGTTTAATCGACAAAAGGTAACAAGAATAAATATAATAGTAGATTTAAATTAGTAGATCTAAAAATACAAAAAATAAAACATATATTAATATAAATATAGATCTAAATACTGAAGTCAAATGTAATCATTTTTGGGCCTAATAATGTTTTTGGCTTGCAGCGGATTTGCGACCATTAATTAATTAGATCTAGATCTAGCTAGATATCTAGCTGCTAGGCCAAGTAAAAAAATCTAGATTACAAAAATAGTAAAAATGATTACAAAATGTAAAAATGATTACAAAAATAAATCTATCCAAATTTTAAACATTCTGTATAAAAATAAAAGATGACGCCAAATAAAGTATGGTTTACAGTACTTCCGGTGAATTCCGGAAGTGTGTGACAGACTTTAGCATTGTTTTACTGTTTTTTTTTACTGCTGTACGATTCCGGAATAATAACCGACGCTAAACTAAGGTTTTACCAAATATTCGTTTAACTTTAAAAAGAATCGAACTCATACACGCAGTGTCACTCGATAATGTTGAGCAGAAAATGAAAGCAAAAATGTGTATATATTAAACGGGATTTTTAAAATTGAAAATAAGTTATTTTCGGCTGATTAGGTTTTTATTAATCTGAGTTGAGGCGGGGATGACCTTGAACTCCGATGGGGTGCAATAAATGGGGGAGGATGTCTGGTAAAATAAATTTTGTAATACTGCACTGTAAATTAGAACACAATAACGCACCTTGTTGTTGTTGTTTTGGGGTTTAAAGTCCGCTTTCAAACTTACGTTTATATCGCAGACTATTTTTGGTGGTTAGTTCGTGGTTTTTGTGTATATACAGTTTGGTTTCATTTGTTTTCCTTTCATTTTTGGGTGTAGTTTTTTTATTGTGCGGGATTTGTATTTTGTTATTGGGTGAATATTATTTTTTCTTTACAGCTTATTAGACTGATTCTTCGGTTTTGTGCACATATTTTTTTACCTGGCTAAGCAGAGTGGATGGGGCGTCCATAGTCAGTAATGTTTCTGTTGTTAGTAATGGGTTTTTGTTTGTCTGGAAGTAGTTGATGAGTTCTTTTCTTTGATTGTTGTATGCCTTACAGTGTATTAGGTAGTGGTCTATTGTGTTTATTTCATTGCAGGTGTGGCACCATTTCTTTGTGTGAATGAAGGAGGCTGAACCTAGACGCAGCCTTGTAATTTTTTTATTAATGGGTGGCCGTTGGTCTTCTGTAACTTGCAGTCTCCCGTCGGGTGGACGTAGTATGTTGTGGGCGTGCCTACCCTTGTCGCTTGCGTTCCATTTTTGAATCCATTCTTCTTTTATTTGTTTCTTTATAGTAGCCTTCATTTCGGAATAGCCTATTCCCGTTTTCACAATAGCTCTGGATTCCACTCCCTTTTTTGCAGCTTTGTCGGCGTTCTCGTTACCTTGTATGCCGATATGGGAGGGAATCCAGATCATTTGCACCGAGCGACCCCTTTGTTTCCACTCGGAACATTTGTGAAGGATTTCTTCTACAATGTCTTCCCTGCAGCATTCTCCCCCTTTTATGGCCTGTAATGCTGACAGGGAGTCAGATATGATGCTGATGCTGGTGTGTGGGGTTGTTGGGGTGTACTCGAGGGCCATAAGGATGGCCGTTAGTTCGGCAGTGAAAATGGAGGCGCCGTCTGTCAGCCTAAAGCTTTTGGAGTGGTTGAGGTGGGGGATGTGGAACCCTGCTCCCACTTTCTCGTTTATTTTTGATCCGTCTGTGTAGATGGTTAGGCTATTGGCTGTTATCCTTTCTATTTCATTTGAAGCCTCAATACGGGCCATTACTGGGTCCTCTTTTTTATTTATCTGATTGTGCAGGTCTGTGTGTAATGCTGGGGATGTCAGTTCCCAGGGGGGGACTATAGGTTTGTGGATGACTAAGTTTTGATCCGCGATTGAGGTTTGGTTGCAGGATTCCAGTTCCCCCGGTGTTTTCCAGCTGGCGGGGGGGCTGAATTTCCCAATGGGGATTCCCCATGCCCTGGGTAGCACTGGTAGGAAGGCCGCTGAGGTTGGGTGGTTTTGATGTTTTACTTTGGCCCAGTAGTTTAGCCTGAGTTCCTTCCTGCGCTTACAATTAGTTCCTATTATGTATATTAAACTATTGTTTCTAAACTATTGGGTTAAAAATAATTTAAAACATTATAAAATATTACAAAACAGTATATTTTTACAAAAATTGAGCATGTAGCGCACATAAATTATTTCCCAACTCTAGAGCTAATTAAAAATAAAACTTTCAGATGGAAAGTCTTCTTATTTTTATGGTTTTAAATTTTCTGCCTCGAAATAAAATAAAGCGGGAGTTAGCTCCCCTAATGCTTTTCAAATGTTCGTATGCAACAGATTGGGTTGGGATGGTGCTTACAGTGTAGTCGGGCAAATTGTGAGACGAAATCTTAATTTTTTTTTATAATCAAACACGTTAAGGCGAAAAATTCTCAGAATATTCTGTTTATGAGAGTATGATACACAACAATCAAATCCTTAAAATTTTTTGAGAATCTGGAAATCGAGTAAAGTGCCCCCAATGTTCAAGTTTACCAAGTCTGTTCAATGCTAATACAATTATTTTCGTGATTTTCTTTTCCTATTTCAAAGACATTCCTTGACACAAAATTAATAGAATATTTGCTAAGGTAGATTAACAAACCGAAAACCCCAATATACAAGCTATCAGCCAATCAAACTCGCGCTGTAAAATACCATAACTCAATCAATCAAAGCTTCACATAAAAAAATCCATTATCTGCTCGGGTCGTTAATGACATTCATTATTCTGGCTTTTTGTTGTCTTTAAAGCTATTAGGTTTTTTTTTTCACTTTAAACTTTCTGCCGAGCTCGAATCAAAATTAATTTAGTGGTGACCTCTGTGAACTCTCTAATGGGGAACAAACGGCTGTATGATGTTCAGATGTTGGGGAAATGTTGGAGAAACGTTGGGGAAATGTTGGAGAAATGTTGGAGGAATGTTGGAGAAATGTTGGGCCACCGCTATATGTTAGGTTTATTTAAAATGTTGGAGAAATGTTGGAGAAATGTTGGAGAAATGTTGGAGAAATGTTGGAGAAATGTTGGAGAGATGTTGGAGAAATGTTGGAGAAATGTTGGAGAAATGTTGGAGAGATGTTGGAGAAATGTTGGAGAAATGTTGGAGAAATGTTGGAGAGATGTTGGAGAAATGTTGGAGAAATGTTGGAGAAATGTTGGAGGAATGTTGGAGGAATGTTGGAGGAATGTTGGAGAAATGTTGGAGACATGTTGGAGAAATGTTGGAGACATGTTGGAAACATGTTGGAGACATGTTGGAGAAATGTTGAAGACATGTTGGAGGAATGTTGGAGAAATGTTGGAGAAATGTTGGAGAAATGTTGGAGGAATGTTGGAGGAATGTTGGAGAAATGTTGGAGACATGTTGGAGAAATGTTGGAGAAATGTTGGAAAAATGTTGGAGAAATGTTGGAGAAATGTTGGAGACATGTTGGAGACATGTTGGAGAAATGGTCGAGGAATGTTGGAGGAATGTTGGAGAAATGTTGGAGGAATGTTGGAGGAATGTTGGAGGAATGTTGGAGAAATGTTGGAGACATGTTGGAGAAATGTTGGAGACATGTTGGAGACATGTTGGAGACATGTTGGAGAAATGTTGGAGGAATGTTGGAGGAATGTTGGAGAAATGTTGGAGACATGTTGGAGAAATGTTGGAGACATGTTGGAGACATGTTGGAGGAATGTTGGAGGAATGTTGGAGGAATGTTGGAGAAATGTTGGAGAAATGTTGGAGAAATGTTGGAGAAATGTTGGAGAAATGTTGGAGAAATGTTGGAGAAATGTTGGAGAAATGTTGGAGAAATGTTGGAGAAATGTTGGAGAAATGTTGGAGAAATGTTGGAGAAATGTTGGAGAGATGTTGGAGAAATGTTGGAGACATGTTGGAGAAATGTTGGAGACATGTTGGAGACATGTTGGAGGAATGTTGGAGAAATGTTGGAGAAATGTTGGAGAAATGTTGGAGAAATGTTGGAGAAATGTTGGAGAAATGTTGGAGAAATGTTGGAGAAATGTTGGAGAAAGGTTGGAGAAATGTTGGAGAAATGTTGGAGAAATGTTGGAGAAATGTTGGAGAAATGTTGGAGAAATGTTGGAGACATGTTGGAGAAATGTTGGAGACATGTTGGCGACATGTTGGAGGAATGTTGGAGAAATGTTGGAGAAATGTTGGAGAAATGTTGGAGAAATGTTGGAGAAATGTTGGAGAAATGTTGGAGAAATGTTGGAAAAATGTTAGAGAAATGTTGCAGAAATGTTGGGCCACTACTGAATGTTAGGTTTATTTAAAATGTTGGAGGAATGTTGGAGAACTGTTGGAGAAATGTTGGAGAAATGTTGGAGAAATGTTGGAGAAATGTTGGAGAAATGTTGGAGACATGTTGGAGAAATGTTGGAGACATGTTGGAGACATGTTGGAGGAATGTTGGAGAAATGTTGGAGAAATGTTGGAGAAATGTTGGAGACATGTTGGAGAAATGTTGGAGACATGTTGGAGACATGTTGGAGGAATGTTGGAGAAATGTTGGAGAAATGTTGGAGAAATGTTGGAGAAATGTTGGAGAAATGTTGGAGAAATGTTGGAGAAATGTTGGAGAAATGTTGGAGAAATGTTGGAGAAATGTTGGAGAAATGTTGGAGAAATGTTGGAGAAATGTTGGAGAAATGTTGGAGACATGTTGGAGAAATGTTGGAGACATGTTGGAGACATGTTGGAGGAATGTTGGAGAAATGTTGGAGAAATGTTGGAGAAATGTTGGAGAAATGTTGGAGAAATGTTGGAGAAATGTTGGAGAAATGTTGGAGAAATGTTGGAGAAATGTTGGAGAAATGTTGGAGAAATGTTGGAGAAATGTTGGAGAAATGTTGGAGAAATGTTGGAGAAATGTTGGAGAAATGTTGGAGAAATGTTGGAGAAATGTTGGAGAAATGTTGGAGAAATGTTGGAGAAATGTTGGAGAAATGTTGGAGAAATGTTGGAGAAATGTTGGAGAAATGTTGGAGAAATGTTGGAGAAATGTTGGAGAAATGTTGGAGAAATGTTGGAGAAATGTTGGAGAGATGTTGGAGAGATGTTGGAGAAATGTTGGAGAAATGTTGGAGAAATGTTGGAGAAATGTTGGAGAAATGTTGGAGAAATGTTGGAGAAATGTTGGAGAAATGTTGGAGAAATGTTGGAGAAATGTTGGAGACATGTTGGAGACATGTTGGAGACATGTTGGAGACATGTTGGAGGAATGTTGGAGAAATGTTGGAGAAATGTTGGAGAAATGTTGGAGAAATGTTGGAGAAATGTTGGAGAAATGTTGGAGAAATGTTGGAGAAATGTTGGAGAAATGCTGGAGAAATGTTGGAGAAATGTTGGAGAAATGTTGGAGAAATGTTGGAGAAATGTTGGAGAAATGTTGGAGACATGTTGGAGAAATGTTGGAGAAATGTTGGAGAAATGTTGGAGAAATGTTGGAGAAATGTTGGAGAAATGTTGGAGAAATGTTGGAGAAATGTTGGAGAAATGTTGGAGAAATGTTGGAGAAATGTTGGAGAAATGTTGGAGAAATGTTGGAGAAATGTTGGAGAAATGTTGGAGAAATGTTGGAGAAATGTTGGAGAAATGTTGGAGAGATGTTGGAGAAATGTTGGAGAAATGTTGGAGAAATGTTGGAGAAATGTTGGAGAAATGTTGGAGAAATGTTGGAGAAATGTTGGAGAAATGTTGGAGAAATGTTGGAGAAATGTTGGAGAAATGTTGGAGAAATGTTGGAGAAATGTTGGAGAAATGTTGGAGAAATGTTGGAGAAATGTTGGAGAGATGTTGGGGAAATGTTGGAGAAATGTTGGAGAAATGTTGGAGAAATGTTGGAGAAATGTTGGAGAAATGTTGGAGAAATGTTGGAGAAATGTTGGAGAAATGTTGGAGAAATGTTGGAGAAATGTTGGAGAGATGTTGGGGAAATGTTGGAGAAATGTTGGGCCACTACTGAATGTTAGGTTAATTTTAAATGTTGGAGAAATGTTGAACAGCCCAGGACAATTTTTGACATCATATTTCCAGTGCGTGGATTTTCCTCTGTAGGTCTGTATGAAGTGTCCATGCCTGGCATTAATAGAGGAAGACAGACATGACCAGTGACCGCGTGAGCTGAACTTTTGTGGTAATAGAATTGTTGATGTCGTGCCAGATGTTTCTTAGTTTGCTGAGTGCTGTAGTGGTTGTAGCACTTCTTGTAGGTATTTCTTGTTTCGCGCTATGGTTATTTGGGCATATCTTGCAAGCATTTCTTGCTTCGTGCTGTGGTTGTTTGGGCATATCTTGCAAGCATTTCTTGCTTCGTTCCCTCTTTAGATAGTATAGCGCCATGGTACTAGAATGAATGAACTTCCTCCAATATTTGTCAAGTTACCCATATATCAACTACTGTACCAGTTGGGTTGTTGGTCATGATCATTTTCTCGTCACAATTGATTTCCATGCCGTATGTTGTTGATGTCTAATCGATCTATCAATTCTATCAACTCGCATTCACTGTCTGGTATGGGTTCTGCGTTGTCAGCGAAGCGTAGGTTGGTAATAATCGGTCCGCCTGATTGGTCTATCATCGCGTCAGTAATGTCCCTGTCTAGACAGCTATTGAAAAGGATGTTAGATAGCAAGCAGCCTTGCCGGGCGCCTATTGTTGTTCTAAACCATTCGCTAATAGTCGTGGTGAAAACTACTACGCCGGTTGCTCTCTCGTAATGTTTAAAAAATAATTCTGAGGTTTTCGCTGATGTTGTATTTGTGCATGATAACCCACAATGCATAATGCCATGCTCTGTCAAATGGCTTCTTAAAGTCTAGGAAAATGTGGTAAAGATGTTGCTGGTGTTGTAGATATTTTTTGCAAATTACCTTCGATTGAAGATCTGCTTAGTTGTACTGCATTCCTGTCTAAGTCTGCCTTTTCTTCAGCTAATATATTTTCAGCTTGCGGCTTTAGTCTGTTGAGAATTATCTTTTGCTGGATTTTGCTTGTGTGTATTACAATAGTTTTGGCAGTTTTTTAAGTTGTCATTCTTTGGGTTGATGATAAAACCAGACTGGGTCTACAAAATTTTACGTTTACTTAAAAAGTTGGAGAGGTGTTGAACACTACCGAATTTTACGTTTACTTAAAAAGTTGGAGCGATGTTGAACACTACCGAGTTTTACGTTTACTTAAAAAGTTGGAGAGGTGTTGAGCTCCACTGAATGTTTGGTTTATTTCATCTGTTGAGTTCTTGAACAAGTCTAAGTAGAAGTTCGACAAGAACATTTTAATTAAAGCCCTGAGCTTTTCTTTTGATCAAACATTTTGAAACACTTGGGTAGGACTAAAAAAGATAGGATTGAGGTTTCGTTAATTTTTTTTTTATTCGACAACATTCTTTCCGTATATTTTAAAGACTGAAATAATATTGGTACTTGACAAAGCATATAATTTACGATAGACTTACTTTGATGGTACGCGCCATCAGGTAACTGAAACATTACTTTGTTTTATTTTTATTACGGTTTCTTTTAAGATAACATATCAAAGAGGTAATAACGTGTCGCTACAGATGGAAGTCATTATTTTACTGAGTTCACGTAAAACGTTTTCCCGTGAAACTAAAGACATGCATTAAGAAGGAGCTTAATATGTATTTGATACATAAAAAAATATTTTCCTTGAATATTTTCTGTAGAGTGTTTTCAGAAACACTGAGAACAGGAGCTAGTTAAGACAAATCCAGGATTTGTGAGGTAGGAGGGTTAATCCAGGATTAAGACTAATCCGTATGTGAAAACAATTCAATGCCACCAGAGCCATTGTGTGATTTAATCAGGGAGGGGTGGAATCGGGATTTCTAGAAAACAATTATTTTATTTTTTTATGTTTTTTTGCGAATGCAGTTATAAATTGTAGATATCCATATCAAATTATTATGGAATAAGTGTTAACTTAATCTAATTATTTTAATAAAATTAAATTCTCACCCGTAATAGAAATATCAGGCACTTTAGCTCCCAGAAAGTAGGACAATTGCAAGGCTTTGAAGATAACTATAACTAACACTAGTCTGTCATGTACTCTACCACTAAAGATAGATAACTAGTCAGTTTCTATAGGTAGCACAAGGTAGCACCAGGTAGGTTAATATCTTATCACCTATATAGCAGCCACAGGTAGCCAAAGAACTAATCAATCTTTATACACGGCCTATGGTAGCCAAAGACATAATCAATCTTTAATGGTAGTCTAATAACAAATTAATGATAACAGGTATTCTTATTGCTTATCAGCCATTTCCGGGTAGGCCGATAGCCAATCAACCATTACTGTTAAACAAATAACGGATCAATTGTAGGTGTTACCATGTACCGTATCTTCGAATATCATCAGACATGTTATGTTAAATCTTTGAAATCAGACTTTTGAAAAGTAGAGCTTTGATAAAGAATTGTGAATATTTGAATTATGATAAGCTTTAGAAGTATTAGTAACTTCATTGTACATAGCTATCACAATTGTAATTGGATTGCAGCTTATATTTTGAAAATATCCTAACAGTGAACTACATGTATTCGTACAACAGAGACAAGGCAAAAAACTGGACAAGTTGAGCCTACAAAAGCACGTCATATTTTAGACCAAAGTGAAAGGTAAAGATCATTTTGCGACCATTTTTTTTCCAGAAATTCACGAACCGAAAATGTAATGATTTGTAGAGTATGACGCAGCTTACATAGTATAAAGCAGCATACAGAAATGCTGAAGCTTCAGGGTGACAATCAGCATACGGTCAACTTAACCACAGTCGGGCTATTCATCTTTACAGATCCATGTCAAAAAACAACTAAGTCCGAATGTTTCGGATACAGGCCGATGTTTTTAGAACAAAGGCCGATGTTTGTTTAAAAGAGCAAAGACTTGACACTTTTAAAGATAGGTCGTCACGTGAAGCCAATGAAGAGTGGCAGCGCTAATATTGGGAGCAGTTAACTCCTAATCAGGCCCAAAGGCAATCATGTCCTCCGCCGTTTAGGACAAATAAATTAAATAAGGCCAGGCTTCTAAAGCGCGTGCTAGCGATCGGTCTCTCCACAAGGCGGAAAATGAAAGGTTCGCCTTGTAAACGGGATCGCTGCTCGGTGGATAAGTATGTCTGAAAACAGCTAAGTCACTGAAGAAATATACAATATTATCTTACCACTGTCTTGCATTAAACTATGATGGTGATGGTGATGGTGATGGTCTCCCATCATTGCGTTAAGGACTTCCCGCTCGTCTCTGCTCATCTTGATTATCAACTGATTTGGAGTTAAACTGAGCCAGAAATTAAAGGAAAACTCATTTCAAACCAGATCGCTCAACAGTTAACGTTCGGCCAGATCCGGCTTCTCATTGGTCCGGACGGTTGCCGGCTAATTTGTTAGGACACGCCCCTTTGAACTTCGATCTCGAGCTTCAGAGGCTGCGGGGATAGATCGATAAACTGGCGGTTACTTCAGTCCCGGCCAGCGGAGCCCGACACTTGGTGGTCGTCTGCTGGTGACGTAGGGTCGTCTGTTGTGTCTTGTGTAAATATTGTTTAGCCGTACCATAGGCAGCCAATGCCCGCGATGTGCAAGGTAAACCTCGTAGACACCATGTTGTAAGGTGTTCGTTACACCATTCAGTGAGGTTTTCCAAACACCATTCTTTGAATTGTTCTAAAAACCATTGAGGTGATCTACGAATCATTCATTTGGGGTGTTTTATAAAACCGCTCAGTGAGGTGTTCTAACACTATTTCACGAGGTGTTCTAAACACCTTTCAATGAGGTGTTCTAAACACGTTTCAGTGAGGTGTTTTTAACACCATTCAGTGAGTTGTTCTAAACACCATATATTGAGGTGTCCAACACCATTCCGTGAGGTGTTCTAACACCATTCCGTGAGGTGTTCAACAAAACTAGCCGTGAGCTATTCAACTGCTACCTAAGTGCTGTTAACATTTCGCAGTTATACGTCCAACTGACCATTCCCTGACCATTCCCTGACCATTCCCTGACCATTCTCTGACCACTCCCTGACCATTCACTGACCACAGCCTGACAATCACTGACCACCCGTTCTTGTCAAACCACCGATGGCTACTCGACGGTCAACACACTCCATTGTACACTGACGTAGGTATGGTCAACACAACAGCTGTGATACGAAAACAAAAAACATCAATACAACCAGTCGCCGACCAATCAACGACCATCAACATGCGCCATCTTTGTTGAACGTTTTACTTGCTCAGTGTCTGTCACGCAGAAAGCGTCTAGGCGTAGGTTCAAATCCACCCCAAACACGGCTTAAAAATAAGAGCGAAACTTTTACAATTTGACTCATTCATTGCTTTCTTTTAACTTTAAAATTTTAAATATAGACAAGAGTGTTCAAATTTTTTAGTTACTAATTAAAAAGAAAACATAAGCAAGTAATTTCTGTTACTTTTAAAAGAATGTCAAGATTTTTCCATCAGCTAAACTAAAATGCATGTAATAGGTTAAGCTAAAAAAATAACGTAACAAGAAACACGATATATATATATATATATATGCCATTGTTTTGAATTCGCAATATAGCAATAAGGAAATGCAACAATTTAAAAACAGTTAATGTAAAGCTTGAAATCCCTCGACAAATTATTTTTTAAATTCGCTTTTCAAATAAATTTAAAGCGGGATTTGCATCCCCCCTCCCGCCAATAAAAACGTTATCAAGAAAAATCTATTTGCTGTTCAAATACATCAATCTTGTTCCTGTGTAGACGATAACATTGTCTTGAAGGTTTCTAAATGTTGATCGGCGCTTCTTGTTGTCTTTGACAATGTCGATGTGAGGGTAGGTGTTGAGGGTGGTGGTGGGTGTAGGGGCAGTAGAGTTGCTCTGAAATTTCTGAAAATAATGTAGATTTATAGAAAGGCAACAAATCTTGTGCCTATTTAAAATTTGTAAGATATATTTGATATTAGTTGACCAGCCCTCAATAATTTGTAAGTGTATTTTTATAAGTATGTACAGACATGAAGGCCACCCCTCCTTTCCCAAAAATATAATTAAATATCTGGTCGACAAAGTCATTATATTGCCTAGCCCTAAGAGTTTAAAAGTATAAAGTTAAAGGAGCCACTCCATCGGCAGTATGATGGGATTTATCATATTTTGAAAACATTCTATTTTTAGACCGTACACATCAAGTCCGGTTAAACGGAAATGACCATACGTCATGCGCAGTGAGACAACAAGAGACAAAGTAACGAGATCACGTGTTAAATGACCTCTAATTAAGTTGTGCGTCATCTGACCAGCACTGACCACACCCTTTGTTAGCGGCTACTTGTTAGCGAAGCCGCCAACCATCACACTGTTCATTAGACCTCTCGGCCGTGGTCACCATCTCTCAACCCGTGGTCACCATCTCTTGACCCGTGGTCACCATCTCTCAACCCGTGGTCACCATCTCTCGCCCCGTGGTCACCATCTCTTGACCCGTGGTCACCATCTCTTGACCCGTGGTCACCATCTCTCAACCCGTGGTCACCATCTCTCGCCCCGTGGTCACCATCTCTTCCCCCGTGGTCACCATCTCTCAACCCGTGGTCACCATCTCTCAACCCGTGGTCACCATCTCTCGTCCTGTGGTCACCATCTCTCACCCCGTGGTCACCATCTCTCGTCCTGTGGTCACCATCTCTTCCCCCGTGGTCACCATCTCTCACCCCGTGGTCACCATCTCTCGTCCTGTGGTCACCATCTCTCACCCCGTGGTCACCATCTCTCAACCCGTGGTCACCATCTCCCCACCTGTGGTCACCATCTCTCCACCCGTGGTCACCATCTCCCCACCTGTGGTCACCATCTCTCACCCCGTGGTCACCATCTCTCACCCCGTGGTCACCATCTCTCACCCCGTGGTCACCATCTCTCAACCCGTGGTCACCATCTCTCGCCCCGTGGTCACCATCTCTCAACCCGTGGTCACCATCTCTCGCCCCGTGGTCACCATCTCTCACCCCGTGGTCACCATCTCTCAACCCGTGGTCACCATCTCTCAACCCGTGGTCACCATCTCCCCACCTGTGGTCACCATCTCTCCACCCGTGGTCACCATCTCCCCACCTGTGGTCACCATCTCTCACCCCGTGGTCACCATCTCTCACCCCGTGGTCACCATCTCTCACCCCGTGGTCACCATCTCTCAACCCGTGGTCACCATCTCTCGCCCCGTGGTCACCATCTCTCACCCCGTGGTCACCATCTCTCACCCCGTGGTCACCATCTCTCAACCCGTGGTCACCATCTCTCACCCCGTGGTCACCATCTCTCAACCCGTGGTCACCATCTCCCCACCTGTGGTCACCATCTCTCCACCCGTGGTCACCATCTCCCCACCTGTGGTCACCATCTCTCACCCCGTGGTCACCATCTCTCACCCCGTGGTCACCATCTCTCACCCCGTGGTCACCATCTCTCAACCCGTGGTCACCATCTCTCGCCCCGTGGTCACCATCTCTCAACCCGTGGTCACCATCTCTCCACCCGTGGTCACCATCGACCGCAACCACTTGGCAGTTGTAAGCCACTGCTATTTATAGCTACATTACGTTATATGGCGAGTTGAAATTTAGAGGGTAAATATATGTATCAGATAGATCGTGGTTAAATAACACAGAATTGACGTTAATTATAATTAATTAATATTATTAGCTTAGATTGAAAATTGTAATGATGGAGACGTAAGACGTTTGTATTGTAAACAACAACAGTGACGATGGTTGGTTAAAACACAAAGGTGAACGTCAATACAGTTTCATGATGTACATTAGTACACAGTTTTATGGTGTACATGTACACATACAAAGACGTTAAACCATGTTATGTAAACATAATCATTTATATATATATTTTTTTAGTTTGGCTTTTTAGACATTTTTTTATGTATTCCTAAAGTGTCATGCATTTTAGCTGAGCATAATAGATGTAGTCACATACATGCAATACACATAACCAATCGGCGATAGGACATAACACAAATACATTACGTAGTACATAATATGACACAAGTACATAATGCAGCAGATGAACTGACATAAAACACCATGAAATGGTGACACCAAATAACATTACACCTTGTCTAGTGTCACCACGAAGGCTGCTTTGAATTTACACTGTGTCACCACGAAACAGAGTAATACAAGAATTACAAATTGGCAAAAAAATTCTATATCACAGCTAACATAAGGCATTTATGATCTATGCATTTCAGCGACTATTAAATATATCAACGTAGATTTGAAGACAAAGGTTATCTAATGTAAAAGTATTTAAAGGCTGAGTGTGTCATTTAACATCGCGAATGTGTATCTCATAGAATGTTCTCGTACACCTGGGATCTGCCTAAGGTACTTCTAGTGTAAAAGTACGCAGTTATTTTACATAATTTTTTTCATTAGGCCTGAAAGCAACTAATGAGTTGAATTAATCTTTGGTTTATGAGCACATGAATGCGCGCGCCGATGACACGACTGTTTTAGTTGGCGCGCAATGATCGCATTCATGACTCCGGTTATAATCGTCTGCTAGCGTCTTGAAACAGCAGACGTGAAATGAGAGCCGATAAAATAGTTGCGATAATTTGATTGCGGATCTGGTCCGTGGGTTCCAGACTTTGATTGGCTCGCGGGTTCTCTCATTTCCGACCCGGCGTCCTGCCCATGACGGAGCGGATTCATTAAGTTTTGAATACATTCGGTACGGAGACAAAATGTCGAGACGGTCGTAGGAAACTTTTGTCGTGTTTTCGTTTTGTCGTAGGCAGAGATGAGGGGGGTGGGGGTGGAATTGGCATTCTGGGGACCTAACGGATACATGGCCATTGGTCAGCAGTACCATGGACATTTGGCAGCAATTGGCGAGTATTCTTACGGCTATTGGCTAACAGTGACAATGCCATTGATCAACACTAACATTGACTTTGGCCAACATTAATGACACTGAAGGCCAAAAGTACCACAGCCATTGGCCAACAGTATCATGGCTTTTAGCTGGCAGCACCATTTATATTGACAAGTAAACATACGCCCATTTACTAAAAGAAACACGATCAATGGCAAAAAGCAACAGCGCCACTAGTCAACACCAACATGGCCATTGGCCAGCACTAACGACACTTAAGGCCAACAGTCCAACGGCCATTGGCCAGCACTAACGACACTGAAGGCCAACAGTCCAACGGCCATTGGCCAGCACTAACGACACTGAAGGCCAACAGTCCAACGGCCATTGGCCAGCACTAACTACACTTAAGGCCAACAGTACAACGGCCATTGGCCAGCACTAACGACACTTAAGGCCAACAGTACAACGGCCATTGGCTAGCACTAACGACACTGAAGGCCAACAGTCCAACGGCCATTGGCCAGCACTAACGACACTGAAGGCCAACAGTACAACGGCCATTGGCCAGCACTAACGACACTGAAGGCCAACAGTCCAACGGCCATTGGCCAGCACTAACGACACTGAAGGCCAACAGTCCAACGGCCATTGGCCAGCACTAACGACACTGAAGGCCAACAGTCCAACGGCCATTGGCCAGCACTAACGACACTGAAGGCCAACAGTCCAACGGCCATTGGCCAGCACTAACGACACTGAAGGCCAACAGTACAACGGCCATTGGCCAGCACTAACGACACTGAAGGCCAACAGTAATAACGCCAATCATAACCTCGAACTGGTCTCTACAACGACTTAGTTTAGATACGGGTGGGTGGGACTTCTAAACCACAGGTTCCCAAACTGTTTCTAGAGGCGACCCCCTTTTATACAAGCCAAGTGTCCAAACAGTTCAATATGCAATTTTAACAAGATAATTATTCACTGAGATTTTATTTTCTAGAATAACTTAATTTGTATATTATGTTCGATAATTAATTTAATGAGATGTGCGAAATTGCTTGCTATGTTCTAGCCTCAAAATTCGCCAACGACAAGTCATTCTCAACATTTAATTAATTAATTTCTTCTGTTATTAAACAAAGAAGTGTTGAAAATCCACTGTCACGGAAATATGTAGACTCAAACTGAAATGAACAAGTAAAACGCATTCGTCGTTATTTTTGGATATGAATGTTATGTAACACACCAAAATTGTGTGAGCAGGTTTTCATTAAACAAGGTCTAATTGATTCCACAAATCCAAGAATTCTTGTTGTAACTCACCATAGATGCTGGCACATCAATGGAAGCAGAGAACAAATTACGTGTCAATATAGTTTCTTCTTTCAGCTCACAGAAGTAACGCTCGAGTTTTCAAAGGATTCGAGATGCCCAGAAATCACCACTTTTAAATTTCTATTTATTTTACATTCGGATTCATCGTCTATGTACAGTTCTTTAGCCATACAGGCATTCAGAGCTCTAGATTTGATGTAACTTACTACTTTAAAACTTACCGAATCAAGTAACCAACGGAATGAATCAGAAGTCTAGCCAGCAAGAACAATCAAGCTAGGTGGTTCCTTTGATTAGGTAAACAAATCTTTTACCTTTTTCCGAAAGCCCGAGTTTGACACAAACATAGACGATGTACCATCCATACAAGCTTCACATACATACATTTTTCCATTTTAATCCTCATTAAAAAAGTTATTTCTTTTCTTCATTACATCTTCACTTTGTCTAGTTCACAACCAAATAGAAACTCATCTTTAATATCATCTGAATGAATTTATTTTATTCAAACAATCTACAGAAAATACGAGCCTAGGTCTGTTGATTCGTCATATATATTCATGTCTGATATACGTTGCTGAATAGTATTATTAAACTGTGATATGCTTTGCTTCTTTAATGCACTGGAGTCCCACGAATTGATTAATTACTTCACTCTAGTCACAGGAACAGTCTGACATGCATCCAACCCACCCTTCTGCAAAAATCTTATAGCCATACATGCGCGGACCCCTTATACCTACACGACAAGTACCCATCAGAACACTGATAGAGTAAACAATACCCCCCCCCTCCCCCAACCCTCAACAGATAGACCCCCGCATTAAAATGGTTATAAATGTGTTTTGATTGGACGTGGAAAGTACATTGTTAATGACACTTTTCTATACTCGGTTGACGTGTCCAAATAGAGCTACATTTATCATCAAAATATTTACATTTTGGAAACGTTCTTGTAATGTGTAGACTTGGATAAGTAAATCCGACTCACACAATCTATTTGAGTACCACCGACCTACGCAGCTTTCATGACCAAATAACGACGCCCCCCCCCCCCCCCCCCCCCCCCCATAGTTCTTACAGTTCTGGTCAGCTGTTCCGCCATGTTGGACTGCTCGATCACGTGACGACACCAGTCCATGACTTGATCCCACCCTGTCGTCATTAGCCCCCCCCCCCCCCGCCCCCACCCCCGCAATAAATTTGAGCAGGAATCAAATGAAATCGCTGCCTCGTGCTATTGCGGGCCATTAAGGCAGGGCGGGGAGCGGGGGCGGGTGGGGGGAGCAGGGTTTTCCGTTCATTACAGGCGATATAGAGTCAATCTTGCCGACAACCCGAAGACAAACAAATCCGGACCTTCGATATTTCCACCCGACCCATGATCTATCGGCCCCCCCCCTCATGATCTATCGGTCCCCCCCCCCCCCAAGCGGCTGTCGGACCCGCCGCAATCCTCCGGCTCCCCGAGCAAGCGGAAGTAGCCGGCCTAAATAAACCCTGGCCCGCCGCGGACTGCCCGGCGATGCATTTAAAATACTTTTATCCAATTAAAGTCCTGACATCTCCGCGCGGGCGACTAATGGTTCAAAGCCTGGCCTGATGGTGGTGACTAGGGGTGAATACGGCTGGGCCAATTAAAGGGGAGACAAGGAGAGAGAACTCCGGCACAAAACAAGATTAATTCCCCTGACTCGTGCGGCACAGTTATTGCAGTCCATCTTAGCCAGAGGAATAAGGGCGGCTGACAAACGAAAATAAAACTTCAATTTTCATCCCTGACGGGGGACAAAGTGCTTGCGGAGAATCGCTCAACACGTGCAGCATTGCCGGCCGTTGATGTAGGGGACAAAAGCATGGCCACGGGCGAACCTGCCGTCAACAGTCCGGTTACATCCCTTACATCTCCATGTCCAGGCCTGGATGATAAAAGCAACAATCGACCGTGTAAGTGTAAGCAGTCCCTGCTGGATAGATGGGCTGATGTTTTGATTTAAATCGTGTTTCTCTGATGGCAAATTGCGGGACGCTTTTGTCGCGTTTTGATGGAGTTAAGCTTTTACATTGTGACGTAGATGTTGTTTGGTTGTGTTGTGGATCAAACAGGACGGACATGCAACAATGACGGGTGATTGACGCAAGGGGGTATGCACCATAGATGGGTGATGGACATTTGGGGTAGGCCGAATAACATGAAGGGAAGTTGGAAACATGGAAGATACAACAATGATGGACGATAGACTTGAACGATTGATGCATGTTTTTCATTGACGCTCAACCGTAAATAACGGGTGAGCACAAAGTTCAAACGAGGAAGATAACGGCCAATTAATAATATAGCGTCCAACCATTATGGCGAGGGCAGATAACTCAGCTAATACAGCGATGGTAGATAACTCGACCAACCATTATAGCCAGGGTTGGTTGATACTCGTTCATACATTATTTTACAATATTTTCAGGTTAGTTTCAGAACTAACCATATATATATATATATATATATATATATATATATATATATATATATATATATATATATATATACATATATGTATATATATTGTCTAGATAACAACAATATTGACCCAGGTGACAAAAACAGATAAAATGACCCAGGCGACAAAAAAAAAATGACCCAGGATGTAGAGATAATGACCCAGGTAACATAAAAAAATGACCCAGGCGACAGAGAAAATGACCCAGGATGGAGAGACAACGACCCAGGTGACAAAGACAATGCTTGATGTGCGGACACTAAAGGTGACGTCATTAAATGATTGTCGCCGCTACCGATGACCTAATTACCACCTCAGATGACGACACTTATCGCCATCTAACGGTGCGAGGTCAATGAACCGTGCTAGATGCTCTAGGCCTGGACTGAGACCAAGCCTCATCTAACCCTTGATTACACGACCACTAAGTAGTTGAAACATCCAGTCCTGCTCGGGCGGCCGTTTTAAAACATCACTGGGGTAACGGTGGAGGTTATTTGACCGTGCACAGTGGGACCTGGGGTGAGGGGGGGGGGGTAGACAGGGTTGGCTCCACCCTGGTCTGGGACAGTCGTCACCCTGAGCAAGTGTCAACCCGCCACTGATTTAGCTATGACCAATCTGTACTGACCAATCAGGGCTATGACCAGTATAAAAGTGGCCAACCTGGACAGTGGCCCATGGTTTATGGCCAACCTGACAAATTACCAACATGGCGTATGGCCAAGCAGTACGATGACCAACCTAGACAATGACCAACCTGGCAAGTTGCCAACCTGGACAATGGCCAACCTGGAAAATGACCAACCTGGCAAATGGTCAACCTGGACAATGACCAACCTGGCAAATGAGCAACCTGGACACTTAACAGCGGGATGATCACGGTACTTACAAGCAACCACCGCTGTCGTCACTGAGCAATGACGTAGCACGACTGACGTCATAAACCTAACGTACCTGCTACCCACGAGAGAGACGGACCGTTAACCCCCAGAGACACCTAACCCTAACGACACGTTAAGTTTCCAACTGAAGCCCACACGTCATCATTAACTCACACTCTGCTATTTACGGCGGGCGAATTTCCCCCGAGACCTTTAAATGTAGCGGATCGGTCACAATTTTGTCAACTCATAAAAAATATCAAAATTTGCGGGCGAGTTTACGACGCGAATAAAATAATCTTAAATTAAATTTAATTAAACCATCAATCCAAAATAAAAATGTATTTTAAAATTTTAAATCAATAATTTCAATGTCAAACATTCTGTGTTTTGATTGGTCCTTTTATGTATGAAGACAAC